AATGCCCCTGGGCATTGTGGTCTATACTGAGGGGTTTGGAGGAGTTTGTTAGTTGATGGCCAGGTGCAGGCAGACAACACATACACTCACGGAAGATAAACGGGCCGAGCACATGCAGACACACATACACACACACACATACACCAAAGAAGGACGGATAAATGGACCCGGTAGCAGGGAGGTCTGACAGAATGCCTTTTCACACCTGGCTGAGCCCAGCGGAAGGTGACAGAGCCACATCTCCCAAAGCGAACACACACATTCAGACACGCACACACACACACACCTTCTCACATTGGGGAGTTCAGGGTCATAAGCAGCATCATGAATAAAATGAGGCTGTCTTAAACAGAAGGAGCCCTCTGTATGCATGTGTGGAAGTGTGGTTGTGTCTGCACGGGGCCCCTAACCCCCATGCCAGTTTGGATCTGTAACGACCTTCTGTTCCCAGTGCTTAAATGGCTTAAATACTTCAATTAGACCTGGGTCACAATCCTCCACCCGTTAAAGCACAGCATCTCTCACACACACAGAAAGACACACACCCACACACACACAGGAGTGGCTTCTTGGACGAAAATGATGGAGACTTTCTTCGGCCCCGTCCCCTCTGCCCCGTGGCTCCAAGTGAAGCTAAATCTCTTTCTTTTAAACACGAGCAACCATTAAACCGGGCTCCCGTCCTGTCTGCCAGCGTCTCCCCTGGAACTTCTCCGTCCCGTTCCCTCCGCCTTCCTCCTTTTTTTTTCACTCCGTCTCTCCCGCCGAGCCGCCCCGGCGCTAACGATGCTGCCTTTTCATTAGACAGCCCCTGCTAATTAATCTCCATAGAGGAGAGTGACAGACCTCCCCGAACACACACAACCATGCAAAGTGCACGCCAAGATGTATGCAAAACACACACTCTTCTTCCGTCTTCCCCGCTCCCCTCGTCCCGCGTGGTGCTGGCAGCCCATTTCATGCTTTATCACGTCTTTTAATTGACAAACAAGCTGCTCTTTTCTCTTAGGCTGAGGTCTATATCACCCCCTCGCTCAGATGCGCACACATACAAACACACCCCCACACACTGACAGCGAGCCAGGAAAACTAGTTATCTTTTTAAATTTGGGAAGCACACACACAGACACACAGAGAAGAGCAAATAACTTTTTGCTGACATGTGGCCCTTGTCTCTGTGACAGTTTTTAACTCTCAAACTTTTTTACAACACCCACAGATGATGGGGTTCCTCCGATTTTCTCCATATTTTTTAAGTGAAAAATGCATATTTTCTTCTAACTTCTTGGAAATTTATCAAAACTAATGACCTTATTTTAAAAAAAAATCTTAAATCCCAAACCTCTTTTTGTTTCAAACGTTATACTCATGCACAGATCAGAGATGTCAAATTGTTTGTTTAAACGTCACTATACGGGGAATCCTTGGTTGTTTCCATCGTGCTAAGGTGGTTAGCTGTGACTTGTTTCCTCTCTTATTAGACCAGTGCCACTGGCTTTATGAAGCTCAGGCTTCAGAAAGCTGCTGGCTTAGTCTGCCCATCCACCATCACCGCCCTGCTCTCTGCTTTAATTGGGACGGCTGCAGTAAGAACTACCTGGCTTTTCTGAAGAATTCATAGAACTTTTAGCCTTCACCTGCTAAAAGTTACAGGCTTAACTCTGATTAACTTTTATGTTATTTTATAGACAGACACAAAGATATAAATGATGGAATAAAAAATTTCACTTTGGAAAAAAAAAATAAATAAATTGAACGTTCTGAAAAGAGTGGTTTTATACAATTAATGGAATAAGTTCTTCAAATCAAAATGGTTCAAGCTAAAACGACTGAGGATTATTGAAAAATATTAACATTTCTTAAAGGTATAGTGGAGGATTTTCACCAATATTTGAAAAGATCCGCCCTCCCCACTTCAGAAAAAGATGCACATAGGCAACCCTGTGGCCGCTCCCGAGAGGGAACGCCTATTTGACGAGTGCGAGAACGTGGATAAGCCCATTTCTCCTTGTGCATGCTCTATTTAAAAGTTGCATCACTCATACAAGATTACTTTCCAAAGGAAGATTTGCAATTTTTCTACTAGCTTAGACTCACCACTGGTAAGTGAAAATGGGGACTAGCACATAGGATGGCCTTACGTAAACATATCACCAGGATGACAATTAGGTGGACCACTTATTTAGATGATCAACCCAGAAAAAGAACATCCTCCGCTAAACCTTTAACAAAAAAAGTCCCTTGAATTTGTGCATCTCTGACTGAAAATGATTTGCTTTGTTAAAAACCCTTCTGAATGTGTGGCTGTCTTGCTGGAAGGTGAACCATTCCTCCAGTCACCAACACCAGTTAAATGTGTAGGACTAAATATGTTTAGCTTCCTCTATCTTCCTTTAAACTCTACATTGATCAAAGTACATCTGCCTGATGATGCGTCTACCTCCATGTTTCTCTATTTGATTGTGATGATTTATCAGGCAGGTAAACATGTTCATTTATCATATTTGGGTTTTACTGACGGTTTTCAGGGTTTCCAACATAGCTTGCTGCAAACTGGAGACAGGACTTCTCATGGTTTTCTATTTCCTACTCTATTACATTTTAAGTTGTTCAAAAGCCTGGGAAAATGTCAAACGTTACCTGACTTTAGACCTCTTTGTTACTTGATCCCTTAAGCACTGATGTGGCACATATGAAGGTTCTTACTTTGCTATTAAGGTGGTGAACAATCACAGTAATGCTAAATCTTTCCAATAAAACTCAGCAAAGTGCTTCTAAATAACATAACTAGGGGTTACTGTGTGGTTATTTGTGTATTTCTCCAAAAAAATTATATTACTACTGCCTTTAAATAGGGCTTAATTTATAATTTGGGAACAAAATGTTATTTTTTAAAAGCTAAATAGGAAGAACATCTGCAAATTGGTCTTTAGTTAATGGGCTTATGGACAAAACAATGGTTGCCTTTAAAATATAATGCATAATACGGTTTTATATCTTGTAAATAATAAAACAATCCATAATATTTTGAGCAAATATAAACAGACGTTCTGTGGATTGAATGCAGGTTATTTCAATAGATTATATTGTCAACAAGTTAAATCACTTGGAAAACAGTTATTTTTGGATTCTGCTTGCAGGTTTGTATCGCACTTATTTACTCCAAAAACATGAACAATGAAATGGGATTTTAGAAATGTAATGTTCTACACAGCCATAGGGAAGACTGTTGTCTTTAGAAAAGTCTAGCAATCATTGACACCCCTCCACCACTAGTCATTTACACCTTCTTTATCCAAACTTAAATGAAAAGTTACCGTAAGTGGAAGGAAAAGGTGAGGTAGGGGAAAAAAGTCCACAATCAGCCACTGACTTAGGATTGTGAAGTAAGGCCCATTCAAGCATGGGACAGAGATTCACAAACCATGAACTGCAGCTGGAGACACAGCTTTAAGAGCCACCAGACATTCACATTCATGAACTAGGCCACTATGAACCAAATAATAATAGAGGTATATTCCCTGGGCTCCCTTTAAAATCAGGGCGCCTGCATCATGCATCTTTCTTGGACTTGGATCCAACCCAGACTGTCAAAGCTTCATGTTCAGTTACCAAGGTGTTACTGTGCTAAACTGGCCTCACCAGAACCCCATTAAAGGCCCTGTAGAGTAAAGGACAGACAACAGACTCCGCCATCAACGTAGATAAGCGCAGCTTGCACCTCAGTAGATCCAGAGGCTGTAGCTGCCATGCCAGCAGTTGTGCCTCCACAAATGTTTCATAGGGGTGGCCAGATGGGGCCACTAAAAATCTTGGGGTGGCATGCTGAAACTAAAAGCCATAATTTAAGGGTTTCAATCTACTATTGTGATAAACCTGCCTGTAGAATAATCATAAAGACTTAAGTAAGCAGCTATTTATCTCTTGGTTTAATGTGCGATTTTTTTTAAATGTTATGTCGCTGGCTGAGCATAAAGGGGTAAAATGATAAACTGATGCTACTACAATTTACACTGGGGAGCGGGGTGGCGCTAGCCTGACGTAGTCCGACTCAATTCTAGTCAGAATATGAGTCTGATGCTGCTCCATAGAGCTGTGATTATGGGGCGTGTTTCGAACGAACCAGGAAAAAAAATGCCTCTGCACTCAATTGGATAGACCTACAACCAATAAGAGCAACGGAGTGCGTGACGTATCTTAAGCGAGGCATAGTTGTTGTCCACAAAAATCAAACCGTGCAGTTGCACGCCTAGAATAAGAAGATGAGACTTGATCGCTTTCTCTGTTCCTCTTTTAAAATTAATTTGCTGTCGATATCTTCTAGAACAGACCTAATAGCAGAATCTACTCACCCAAACTCTCCAGCGGCAGCCATTATTGTTGTCACCCAAGCGCGCTTTGGTCACGTGGTTGATTACGTTACTCTTGATCATCTGTCCATCATCGTATAAAGCCCGCCCTGACAATTTGATTGGATCGCCTGACAGTGGGCGATAATACTCGCGCTACTATGGAGCAGAGCCAGACCGAACTTCCCCGAACTCAAACCTTGTGGGCGGGACTAAGTTCGGAATGGCACCCAGGCTAGGGTGGCGCCACTGCATACTAGGCCGCAACAGGAGAGCCAAACCCATACAGAATATGGAGGTGCCTTTTAGCACCTTTTGTAGTATTTATTTATAAGTCTTACATTAAATTTTATTTTCTGAAAAAAAAAATTTCTCAGCTTTTACCAGATGGAAGTAAAACCAGCTAATAATCACTCTGTGTGCCATGAATGTATACTTTATATTAGTTTTAAAACATGTTTTTGTTGATAATCTAAGTGTGCTTGCTCCATGTCTGCCTCCGTTTACAAAATACAAGAAATATGGTTGTTTTTTTAAAGTTCTTTCTCCAAACTGTAGAGCAAACCACATGCATAGGTTAAACGCAGCTCAGGTGAAGATTGGAGGACAGAGGAGTCTGACAGTATTGAATTATGTAAGAAAGTCACTCACTGTGATGTGGTACTGTCTCCATATCTCTGGACAAGCCTGGAAGGAGATGAAGAAAAGTTTAAAGTCAGAGCACACAAAAACTGACACCCAGTGTTTCCATAGGCATACACAGAGACTGGTCTGATGTTCTAATGGGTCACATGACTGAGGAAAGCAGAGAGATCCTGAGTAACAAGCAGAGAGGACACTGAAAAAAAAAAAAAACGTTTATATCTTATTCTCTTCCCTCATCTTTCCCTAAAGCGTCTCAGATTGTCTTTCCTGTATGGGCGTCTCGTATGTCATCAGTAACTAACAGACAGTAAGGCAGCTGCTTGTTTGGTTGCTGGTGTGGAGAAAGCATTATGTTCCCCATGAGCCTCCCGACAACCTTTACCAGCCACTGCTGCTTCCCGCGGGGAAATTGAAAATGCCAAAGTCGCCGCAGGCAGCGCGATTTATCTACTTACGTACCTACTGAGTGAGAGGCAGATTGAAGACGTCATTCAGATTCAGGCATGCTCTGTGAAAAAGGCTGATCTTAATTTGCTCACTGCCAAACTAGATTCCTCAATAGAATCTATGCTAAATGAATTCACATTAAATAAGGATTTTAAATGGAGACTATGGCCTCTTATGAGGAGGAATCAGGACTGAAAGGCAGGAGAACTTGCATTAATTTCTACAGCTGTGTCTTTTCCTCCTTTAATTTAGCTTTTTCTTTCAACCCCCCCTCAACCCCTCCTATTTGTTCCATCCCTCCGAACCGCCGGGGTAGTGTGCTGTTGTCGAGGGCGACAGGCGAGGAGAGCGACACACTCGCGCTCCATCAACCGTCTGTCTTTAATGAGAGACACAGAAAGGCCCAGGGGACTGAGACTTGACTCCTCTTCTCTCCAAAACAGACACACTAATGCGCTCAGTGTAATTTGTGAGTGTAAGTGGAGGCAGAAAAGAAAAGGAAAGGGAAAAGTTGTGCATCTCAAGTGAGAGGTAATTTTATCACAGGGCGTCTTTGGGCTTTTTGTGTTGTTTATGGAGAGATGTGCAGAAAAGGTGAGAGGAGCCAGATAAACAGACGGATCTGAAACAGAGGATGAGAGGAAATGGATAAGGGTCAGAGAGAGAAAGAGAGAATTGGATGGTGTGTGTCCTGGTGTACCCTCTCCCTGTGGTGTTCACCTGGTTACTCATCCATTACACACAGCACAGTACATGACTGACTGACTGACGAAGAGAGAGAGCGAGAGGGAGGAGGAAAAGGAGGGTGGCCGCATACTGCTCCTTCCATTCACTACTTCCTGCTGTAGTGTTGCCGTCAAAATGGACCAGCTAATAAACACGGCCCTGTGATCATTGTCATCGATGGTCTGTAAATGCATCCTTCAGTCGTGACGCTCGCAAACAGCTGGAATACAAGGACCTAACTAAACTGTTATTACCTAAGTGCATCAATTACTGTGAACAGACACATGAGTGACCTCTGGTCACTCATTAAAAGGACGACAGCGGAGTCTGTGTGCGTTAAAATGCTTATCTATGTTTAAGGGTGTGTATTTATATAAACAGGCTCTAAATCATTTCCACAGTACAATTTTAACAGTCTCTAACCTTTTTTTCCTGACAGGAAGCAATGTGAGCGTTGTAAAAATGGTCTGACTTGAATCTGATCTGAGCCCACCTGTGACCACAGGGAGGTCAAAGGCATTGAGAACAGGATAGGTGATAAAAATACAAAAAATATTTTAAAACTACAAAGTTAAGATGTCTAATGCATGTAGAATCTGTTCAGTCTGCTTTAAAGGAATAGTACACCCAAAACATGATTAGCCTTCATTTTCTACTCACCTCCATGCTGAACAACACTCTGGAGTACTTTTTTGATATCTCAAATGCATCTGGAGATCTGGGAGGCTTCTTGCTGTCTGCTGACATTCAAATAATGGAGGTCCATGGCGCCCGAGACAGAAAGGTCCATAAAAGTCCACAAAAAACGTGTCAATATTCCTCCATACTGCTCGTCCAATGTAATCCAAGTGTCCTGAGTGGGTAGCATCCAGAATTTACTCGAAACGAAGTCATTTAGAATGTTTTTAGAGCATAAACAGTAGTGTATAGGATTTCCTAATAGCGCCCCCATGCGCGCTCACGATTCTACGGAAGCCGGCAGACCAAACCGGAAGAAAGTGCGCATTCAGCGTCTGCTCTGCCGATAATGCAAGCGTAGAAGAAGAAATGTGCTGTTTACCTGTGCAAAGAAAGAAACAACGAAAGAAAAATGTCTGAGGACCTCAGTGTTGAGGAAGAGCATGAGTTCTTTGCCGAGCTGAATGCTCTGGTTTGGTCTGCCGGCTTCCGTAGAATCGCGAGCGCGCATGGGGGCGCTATTAGGAAATCCTATACACTACTGTTTAGGCTCTAAAACGTTCTAAATGACTTCGTTTCGAGTAAATTCTGGATGCTACCCACTCAGGACACTTGGATTACATTGGACGAGCAGTATGGAGGAATATTGACAAGTTTTTGTGGACTTTTGTGGACCTTTCTGTCTCGGGCGCCATAGACCTCCATTATTTGAATGTCAGCAGACAGCAAGAAGCCTCCCAGATCTCCAGATGCATTTGAGATATCAAAAAAGTACTCCAGAGTTTTGTTCAGCATGGGGGTGAGTAGAAAATGAAGGCTAATCATGTTTTGGGTGTACTATTCCTTTAAGGCATCACATATGCAAACTGGAAGAACTATTTTAGAAAAACGCATTGAAATTAAAAGTGCACCGATGAATGGGCCCCAACGTTCATTTTCTTTTTTTTTTGTTATCTGTTATCTACATATACTTCGATGAGTTGTTAGTCTGTTTGTTCATTTTAGATTTCTCCCTCTCTCCGTCTCACTCATACGTCCCTGGCCTTGTCTTGACTCATTGTGTTCGTTTTATTTTTTATTAAAGCTTAGTTTATTTTGTACTTCTCATCTTTAGTAAAAACTAAATAAACCCCAGGATTTGATTTTGGAAAATTAAAAAATTATTGGGAAAATTGGCGAGGTTTTATTTCACCATGGAGATCAGACTTTGTCGGTTAATATTGTGGGTTTGGGTACCCTTATAGAGTTACAGACTGTAAATAGTTTGCTTACAGTTCAATACATGTACAGAATATATGTGCAGATTCTGTTGGATGCTGTGTTTGGAAAGAAAAAACCCCCCCAAAAAATGTAAAATCGGTTTGTATACTTGTATGGGAAACAATATTTTTAAATAAAAAGCGCAAATATAAAAAAAATACATAAAACTTCATCTCAGAAAGGATCAGTTCAGTCAAAAAAAAAAAAAATCCATTCACACATAATGTCACAGGGCGGCTCCCTGACAGCAGTGAAAAGCTTGTGCTCTCCTCTTATTTGAAGGCTCTGCTCCCCTGCTTGTAACTTCAGCTGCGCAAAATCTTTTATTCAAGGTCTACATGCAACAATCTCTTTCTCTAAAGTTGGAGACATTTGCAGAGACCAGTAATTCAGAATGGGAACGTTCGGTCAGGTCATCATTTTGTAGCTAAAACTACGCCATGAAGCTTAGCAGCACAGTATTACAGCTTCAGAGCTCAGGCCCCTTGTCTGTGATGTACGTGTTCACTCATGTAACCAATGCCGTTATCACAGTTTTTGAATGAATTTATTTCACGTTTTATATCATTATTTAATTATTGTCTAGCTCTACCCGACAGTGTCAAGTTCTCTAAAAGGCAGTGATCAGTGAACAGCCAGAAAGCTGCAATTGTTTGACCACAAATGTTAATATTCCCTGTTTAAGTGCCGGTCATGTTTGGAAGCTGTTTTTTGATCTCAAGCTGACACCAAATCATTTAACCCAATTTATTTCACTAAAGCTTTAATACTCTTATAAAAGTCCCAAAAGCTGTGAATCTGCAGTTCCTTCATGCGTCTCTGATCTTTTGTTAGGTGATAAACAAAAAACAAAGAAACAGACAACTTTAGTAGAAGTTTAAAAACTCCATGAGAAAACTGAAAGGATGACGACTCTGGTCCTAAACTCACATCAATGAAGTGTCCCCTCATGCTGCAGCGATGGCACTGTTTGTGCCAATAAGCTCTCTCGCTGCAGGAGTTGAAGAGGTGTCCAGGCTGGCCACAGTTATTGCAGTGCTTATTAGGACACTGACTGGCCAGGTGATCCGTTGTCCCACAAAGAAAGCAAGGCGTCAACTTCTGCAGACAAAGAACACAGCAGTTTGTACGTTTACTTTTACCAGATGGTCGTCCTACGGTGCAATGGTGTAAACTCACTTTAGGGTCAGGGCAGTTCTTGGAGAGATGTCCTGTCTTGTTGCAGTTTCTACAGTGGACACTCTTCCCAGTGTAGTATCTGCTGGACGGACGCTGCAGGAAAGTCCTGGGACCACGGCCTTTGTTAAAGATCTGAGCCTGAAACAGTCAGAGTGCTTTACTGAGCTTATGCTGTGGCCATAATGGTAACAGCAAGAGAAGATTTCTGATGGTTTGGCCATTTTATTATATTTTTTATGATTAGACCCAAATGTTTGATTTAAAAGCTCTTTTTTGGAATAGAAGACAAAAAAACTGGGAAGAGATCTGATTGAGAGGCTCTAAACAGGAGTATTAGAAATGCAAACTAAAAGAAAAATAAAACCAGTTTTAAGAAAACAAAATTAGTCTAAAATAACTATGAAAGTAGATAGACTTTCGTTTGGCTATCAGCACCTACCTCTTTATCTTTCTCTGAAACAATCCAACTTCCTCCTTCTTCTTCTTCTTCTTCTTCCTCAGCATCTAATAAAAGAAAAAATGCAAATTACATACAGTAAAAACCTTTAATACTCATTGTATATTCTAACATAAAATGTAATGTGTACATTTCATTTTAAAAGAATGTGTTTCTTCCAAGTCAAAAACACATTTCGTTGCCGTCATTGGATGTATTATACCAGCTTTGCTCATTTCAAAATGGGTCAAACTCAGCAAGATTTAATGGAAAGCATCTGTGAAGAGGGTTTAATAAATCAGTTTGGCAGAAAAAAATTTAGCAAGCTGACCAGGTCATTCTAATACAAAAGTAGGCAGAAATCTAAATCTTTTCATTGCAGCTTCATTTAGGGGGCAGGTTCAACATGAGGGCAAATCCATGCCTCGGATTTCCATCTAATCGCTATCATATAACAAGGACGTCTCATGGTTTTCTTCTCCTTGCTGCTCCTCCATGTAGACCATACAGGTGCTGGTCATAAAATTAGAATATCATGAAAAAGTAGATTGATTTCAGTAATTCCATTTAAAAAGTGAAACTTGTATATTATATTCATACATTACATACAAACTCATATATTTCAGATGTTTATTTTGTTTAATTTTGATGATTACAAATGACAACAAATGAAAATCTCAAATTCATCATATCAGAAAATTAGAATATTACTGAAGACCAATAAAAACAAAGGATTTATAGAAATGTTGGCCAACTGAAAAGTATGAACATGAAAAGTATGAGCATGTACAGCACTCAGTATTTAGTTGGGCCTCCTTTGGCCTGTATTACTGCAGCAATGCGGCGTGGCATGGAGTCGATCAGTCTGTGGCACTGCTCAGGTGTTATGATAGCCCAGGTTGCTCTAATAGTGGCTTTTAGCTCTTCTGAATTGTTGGGTCTGGTGTATTGCATCTTCTTCTTCACAATACCCCATAGATTTTCTATGGGGTTAAGGTCAGGAGAGTTTGCTGGCCAATTAAGAACAGGGATACCATGGTCCTTCAACCAGGTACTGGTAGCTTTGGCACTGTGTGCAGGTGCCAAGTCCTGTTGGAAAATGAAATCTGCATCTCCAAAAAGTTGGTCAGCTGCAGGAAGCATGAAGTGCTCTAAAACTTCCTGGTATGTGGCTGCGTTGACCCTGGACCTCAGAAAACACAATGGACCAACACCAGCAGATGACATGGCACCCCAACCCATCACTGACTGTGGAAACTTTACACTGGACTTCAAGCAACGTGGATGAAGTGCCTCTCTTCTTTTCCTCCAGACTCTGGGACCTTGATTTCCAAAGGAAATGCAAAATTTACTTTCATCAGAGAACATGACTTTGGACCACTCACCAGCAGTCCAGTCCTGTTTCTCTTTAGCCCAGGCAAGACGCTTCTGACGCTGTCTGTGGTTCATGAGTGGCTTGACACAAGGAATGCGACAGCAGAAACCCATGTCTTTCATACGTCTGTGTGTGGTGGTTCTTGAAGCACTCACTCCAGCTGCAGTCCACTCTTTGTGAATCTCCCCCACATTTTTGAAGGGGTTTTGTTTCACAATCCTCTCCAGGGTGCGGTTATCTCTCTTGCTTGTACACTTTTTTCGACCACATCTTTTCCTTCCCTTCGCCTCTCTATTAATGTGCTTGGACACTGAGCTCTGTGAACAGCCAGCCTCTTTAGCGATGACCTTTTGTGTCTTGCCCTCCTTGTGCAAGGTGTCGATGGTCGTCTTTTGGACAACTGTCAAGTCAGCAGTCTTCCCCATGATTGTGTAGCCTATAGAACTAGACTGAAAGACCATTTAAAGGCTTTTGCAGGTGGTTTGAGTTAATTAGCTGATTAGAGTGTGGCACCAGGGGCCATCAATTTTGAACCTTTTCACAATATTCTAATTTTCTGATATGATGAATTTGAGATTTTCATTTGTTGTCATTTGTAATCATCAAAATTAAACAAAATAAACATCTGAAATATATGAGTTTGTATGTAATGTATGAATATAATATACAAGTTTCACTTTTTAAATGGAATTACTGAAATCAATCTACTTTTTCATGATATTCTAATTTTATGACCAGCACCTGTATGTGTGCAGTGCAGGACTAAGATTCTTCAGCCTGAGTGGAGGATCTCTGCCGCCCCTCCAGAGGAAGCACTGGCCTCTTTTCCACTGCTCTGATTCATTTTCTCCCAGTCCAGCATGTTTGTTGAGGTGTGCACAATGGGAAAATTGTGCAACAACCTTTCAAATTTTGCACAATGGATTAAACATTACTTTTATGTCTTTTACAGAATAGCTGGATAAATACTGAGATTAAATTTTGGGATTTCTGGTTGCACAAGATTTTGTCTCAGGGTATCAGAGGAAAAGAGATTAACCTTTTTTTATGTCAGACAATTCATGTGAATTTTCTAACAATAATATACCTTAAAAAATAGCAGTAAACATCTCAGGAAAATTTTCCAGGACATATTAAGTCCACAAAACCAAGCAACCCTGTTAGACTCTTAATCCTGTGGGATGACTTGTGCTTCCTGTGACAGAGGACACACACACGTATACCCACAGTGAAACTGACACAGTGGCAGCCTGGCACATCTGTATGAGAGTGGCGCTAACAGCACCCTGAGGGAGAGCGCCGTATCCTCCTCAGGCCCACAGAACTGTAACCGACATCCAGAGATCCTAACGTACAGGCGAGTGCAAACACGCAGACACGTGTAGTCGGCATAAATGATGCGCCCATAAGCAATGACCCACACATGCTTTGAGGCGCACGGACACACCCACACACATCGACCCCTGCGATTAGCTGGTTGACAGTCTTTAGCCTTTGGATAAACACACAGCCTTGAGCCATAATCAAATATTACACTCTCCTTTCCACCTTTCTCTCCTCCAGTCCTCTTTCAGATTCCCTCTATCCAGCCCCCTTATCGCTATGCAGCTCAGCCCTCCTTCCTTTGCTTTTGCTTCCTCTCCTTGTTTTCTAACCCCCTTCCTCCCTCCCTCTTCCCCGGGTGAGCGGCTGCAGAGGGAGGTTATCACCTCTCTTCCCTGTCAAACAAATTAAAATGGCTGCTGTTTGGATGGGGCTCCTTTCTGCCACGACCTTCACCTCCAAATATACACACAGACACCATCACAATAACTAAAATCCAAGCGTTGTCACTCTTTTCCCAAAGTAAAATAGTTGATCAACTTGAGATAATGAAAACCGCCTTAAAAATGTTGCATTTAAGTTTTAAAGAGCAGCAGAACACTTGATACCTTCTCTTCTAGAAAGAAACAATTTTCCTGCTTTAAGTCCACAAGAATTTCCTCCAAAAGAGAAAAAAATGACAAGAAAGAAATCAATCTTTTAATGACACCTTCATGCTGCACTTAATTTAAAATCAGACAAAGAATGGGCTGTTCTCTATAAGTGACTAAACTGTAAACCAAAAAAAAAATGAGGTTTTATTTTGAAAGAGTCATGTTAACGCAGCATTGATGAGGATTCGCTGTTCAGCTTTTCAGGGTCACTCCTTTCCAAAAATGGCAGAATCTTTCACAGCAATCATTTAAGATGATTAAATTATGTGACAATGTACAGCCTAATAATTATAGCTTGGTTAGGGTTAACCCTAATCCTCTATATCACAATACAGATCTGGTAGATATCTCTAGAAAATACATGTGTTAGAAAAGATCATTAAATCTACAGAAACACTTTACCCTCCTAACCTCTCACGGCCAAACTAAGTAAGGTCGGTGGTAGAGCTGGCCTCTTCTTAAAGGTCAAAGGTTACCAGAAAATAGAACTAGGGTTACAGTTTGAATGTAGTTTTTCGTCTTTCTGGTGCGTATTTCAAATGCGTAAAAAATAAATCAGGAGTTATTGTTATTGACTGACATGAAAGGCATAATCGTGATACATTTTTCACCCATAATCCCACAGGCCTTCTAATGATGAGGCTGTTTTTCCTCCCAGAACTTCATTCAGATGAAGATGGTTTAAACAGACTTAAAAAAATGTTTCATTTATGCAAAATGTTTTACGCTGTGTTATACAGAGACTTTAGAAGAGAAACGAGTCCAAATTCATTCTCTTCATCCTGGTTTCATATGTTGGATTATTTCTCCTGTAATCCTTCATTTACATATTTCGATTATAAAGAGAGAAAAAGGTAATCCTAACACACCTCAGAAGTATTTATTACAAAAATAATGCAGTTTTTCATACCTAAATTTGCAAGACTTTTTTTTTTATGTATTTTTTTTCCCCTTCATCTTTTCCTTTGCAGAGTGTCTCCTGGTTCTGGGCAGATATAAGGGAAGAATTGACACAAAGAATGGAGCCGAGTTGAAGGCCATGTCCTCCATCTGGAGGTAATCCATGCTCTACCAATAACTTTCCAGGCTGCATTTTTTGTGTCCCTTGTGCTGCTTTAAAACTTCTTTTTTTTTTTTTATCAAGCTTTTTCCTTCCATCCAATTTCCCCTTAAAATCGTTTCGATACAGCACTTTGAACAGCCGGCTTCTTTACCAATAAACTGTTGGAGTTTAAGACTCCTCCATAAGGGGATCCTCAGGACAACGCCAACATAGAAACATATGATGGTCTGATCAACTCTGGCAGAAGAAGTCTTTCTGCATTCGTCTTGTGCAACATTCCAACATTAAAGGAAAGTGAAACTGGATTTTTTTTCTAAAATAATCGTAATTAACAGAAGTAAATGCTTGAAATATTCCACTGAATGTGCTAAAGCTTTAAAATAAGAGTTTTTGAATTGAAATGCATAATGCATCAAGAAATAGATGATTTTCCAATTATGATGCCCCTGTACGGGAAAAAAACTCCAAAGCTAAGTATGTTACTTTTTCTTAAAATAAGGGCATTTTTTCTTGAGTTGAGGAGGTCAGTGAAACAGTTTCCCAATGGAACAAAACAATTTATATTTAAAATAAGGCAAAACAATTGCATTTTCTTATTTCAGGTGCATTTTATCCAGTTATCTTATTTTAAGGGTAAACATACTCATTGCATTG